ATAGATTATTTTAAGCATTTTCATCTACACATCCAAGAAAGATTTGGCTCGTCTTTTTTCCAGTCATATTTCATATTTGAGGAAAGGTCTGCATATATGTGCTTTCTGTTGGAGTTGTTTTGAGGCTTTATTATTGTTGCCATGGTATTAGGTAGTATCAGATTATTGAATTAAGTGGGAAGACTATTTGGATGTTATACTAGCAAACCTTCATTACTTAGTTTGGGAGTTTGCAAATCTGCCTCTAGCAACTAGATCGGAGATTTTGCTTCTAACATGCGTAAAGAAGTTCAATTTTTGCTCGTCTTATGTGATTTTTGTTGGTGCAAATTCCTTCTCCACTGATATGCAAATGAACATTTGCCTATTCTGAATAAGTATCATGGTTGGTGTATGCATTATCCATGAACCTTTCGTACTCTTTACAGGCTTTTTGATAACCCACATCATAAGATGGCATCATCAGCAATTTCAACTGTTTCTATCGGCTCTGTCATTTCTTATGGCCCTCAGGCTGGCTTGGGATCAAAATCGAAGCCCTTGTCCTTGAGCTTTTACTCCCCAAAATCCTTCAAGTGTTTCAGTGGTCTGAAGGCAGCATCATCTGTTAACTTTGAAACAGATGCATCCTTTTTGGGCAAGGAGGGCAACGCCGCTCTCTGGGCTTCAGCTGTCCCAAAAATGCAGCAGAAGCAGAGCACTGCAAATCTCCAGCCTCAAGCATCTTTTAAGGTGGCCGTCCTTGGAGCAGCTGGAGGCATTGGTCAGCCGCTGGCTCTTCTGATCAAGATGTCTCCTCTTGTCTCGTCGCTGCATCTCTATGATATTGCAAATGTCAAAGGAGTAGCAGCTGATCTCAGCCACTGCAATACTCCTTCTCAAGTCTTGGATTTCACAGGGCCATCAGAGTTGGCCAATTGCTTAAAAGGAGTTGATGTGGTTGTCATCCCTGCAGGAGTTCCAAGGAAACCGGGCATGACCCGTGATGACCTATTCAACATTAACGCCAATATCGTGAAGTCACTGGTTGAAGCTGTAGCTGATAATGCTCCAAATGCTTTTATTCACATCATTAGCAACCCTGTCAATTCCACTGTCCCTATAGCTGCTGAGGTTCTGAAGCAGAAAGGAGTTTATGACCCAAAGAAGCTTTTTGGTGTTACGACACTTGATGTTGTTAGAGCTAACACGTTTGTTGCTCAGAAGAAGAACCTCAAGCTCATTGATGTGGATGTTCCTGTCATAGGAGGTCATGCTGGGATTACCATCTTGCCCTTGCTGTCAAGGACAAGGCCATCAGTGACGTTCACAGATGAACAAGTGGAACAACTGACTGTGAGAATCCAGAATGCTGGAACTGAAGTGGTCGAGGCAAAAGCTGGTGCTGGGTCTGCAACTTTATCCATGGCTTATGCAGCTGCTAGATTTGTTGAGTCGTCTCTTCGAGCTTTGGATGGTGACGGTGATGTTTACGAGTGCGCATTCGTTCAGTCTGAACTCACTGATCTGCCCTTCTTTGCTTCAAGAATTAAGCTTGGGAAGAAGGGAGTTGAGGCTGTGATATCTGCTGACCTCCAAGGGATAACTGAATACGAGGCAAAAGCTCTGGAAGCCCTCAAGCCTGAGCTAAAGGCCAGCATCGAGAAGGGCGTAGCGTTTGTCCAAAAGCAGGCGGCGGCAGCTGCTAATTGATGCTCACATTCTGTTCTGTCTTCCTTCTTATCAAATGGTCATACAAGAAATAACTATGAGGTACCAGTCTTTGCAGTTTTGCAGTTGTAGTTCCAACTAGTCATCCCTTCAATGGGATTTAGGAGAGGTTAATGAGTTTGGAGCATGTTAATGATAGAAAGAGGAAAATCATGGCTTATTCCATGGGGAATGTAGCATGCGACTTATTTCATCTTCTTTTTTTTTCTACACAAGATTGAATCTTGTTAGTGTTTTGTTCCACATGTCATAACAGTAAAAACCATTGGCCTCTGGGAGTTGCATGTCAATTTCAATCACGTTCAGAATTGTCATTTGTGATATTGCCATTAATTTATTTTCTTTTATCTTTTGTGAATTATGTTACATGCATGAGTGCGAAAAAAGCATGCTGAGCGTCCTTTTCCTGGAGGAATCCGAGAGAATAAATAAATAGAAAGAAGGCAAAGGCAATTTGGAGTGAACATTGACTCCTCAAGAACGAAGACCATTTGATTTTGTCAATCTTCTGCAGATAATTTTCTCTCAAATCCCCTGTGGATAATATCTCATAGTTATAAGAATAGCTAATGATAGAGATAAGTTAGTTTTGTAAATATGCTGTTGCTTGTCTGGACTGAGTGACTAAACGATTTGACATCGTGAATGATCCATATATTATTAGGTCGTAGAACAAATTTTCACTGTAGACCCAAACTAAGTTTTAATTACTAAAATCGATCTTTTTTTTAATTACCAAAATCGACCCATTTTATACCACGTAAGCTTAATCTCATTTCCTAATTAGTCGGGGTTGTCAATCTCGACTGTTTAGGAGTTGTTAAACCCCAATTAGAAGTTCTAAACACGATTTTTAATGCCCTAAACAGTCGGGGTTAGCAACCTCGACTAATTAGAAAATGTAATTAAACTTACGTGGCATAAAGTGGGTCGATTTTGATAATTAAAAAAAGGGTCGATTTTGGTAATTAAAAGTTGGTTTGGGTCTACAGTGAAAATTTGTTCTTAGGTCGTATTCTTCATCTGCAGTTATTCCTTTGGTTTGGTTATCTTTCTGCAATGTCCAGCCCTCGGGCGCGCTAGGGGAGCATAAGCTGCTTATACGGGCTACATCGCTTAGATTATTATAGCCATTTTCTTTGTTGCCGTCCCCACATCCTTGTAAGCGTTAAAAAATGCTAATAGATATCCAAACATAGAGAAGATCATCAAAAAATCACCTCATACTGTCTTAGGAGGGAAATCAAGACAGATACGAACTGTCTCTCCAGCGAGACAGTGTTTGCTGTCTCTCCAGCGAGACAGTGTTTGCTGTCTCGCCGCCGAGACAGTGTTGAAATGGTCAAAAACTACCTTGATAACTGCCCTACACGTGTCCATTAACTGCCAAGGGGCGTGGGAAACATCATGGGCGAAAATCACGTGGATAACTGCCAAAATAACGGAGTTTGAAATGTCCCCTGAGGCTATAAATACTCCCCTAGGGTCATTTCTGACGAGGATCGAGCATATTTTCGAGCAAACTAGAGCAGAGAGAGAGCAGACTTGAGTTTGGTGTGATTCCTTGAGATTTGAGCTTTGACTTAATCTTAAGAAGAACGATCGTCTTACTTTGATAAGATCCTCGTTTCAAATTCTCACTTCGATAAACGAAGGAAGAATCATAAAGCCCCCTTCACAATCTGTGATTCGGCGGTCTACGAGTCAAAGCGCTCACGGCACAGGCAAAGTCCCACAAAAAACAAGAATCGATAGACGATTTTTGTGTTAGTTTCTCAAAAGTTGTAATTTTCTCATTTTTTTTCATTGTAATTCGTTGTAAACGACCGAAGTTCAATAGAATTATCAATGGAAGCAACTTTTGCTGAAAACAAACTGGCGACCACAGTGGGAGCCAACGGCCTCGCTGCCAAGGCCGCCGTGTTGCAACCAATCAAGATCGTTGTCAACGAAGAGATCGAATATGAATTCGATCAGGCGAAATTCGAGGAGTACTTGTCATCCTCATCATCAAAACTTTCCTCACCCCGCAAGTATAGGAAAGTTTCGTCTCCCAGAAAAAATTTCAAGTCTGCAGTGCCAATGAAGGCCACAGATGAAGATTCTTGCCCGACTGCTGCTAAGGAATCTGCCTGCAACTTCCCTGTTCCAAACGACTCCGCACCCATTAAGGGGTCGTTGATTAATGGCTCACCGGTGCTGACGAAAAGGGCTCGTCAGAGACAGCGCCAGCGCCGTGCTCGTCAATTGGCTAAGGCCATGCAACAAACCGACGGGGTCCACTATTATGCGGACCTAGAGTCGAGGAACAAAAAATGGTTCAGTTGTCTCAACGGCAAAATAATCATATTTCTGCACAGCTTACGACGGAGGAATGGACCCTCGTCAAAAGGGCTCGTTCGACCCTTAGAGAACGTATACAAAGGCGTCGGGTGAAGGCCGCCCGTGCTCGTTCTCTTCGTCAACAAGCACAAGGAATCAAGAAGGAGATGGTGTTTGAAAAGTCACCAAAGAACCGTAGAGTTTGGATGCCGAAGACGTCGCAAACATCCGTTCCGGGCCCGTCTACTGCATCACCAGTGAAACCCTGGGTTAGCCCAGATTTGTCCAAATTTAAAATCACAATGGCGGATCGCCTCGGTCCTTCGGTTGACGATCGAGGCAAAACCCCAGTCAAAGAACAATCAGATTTAGTAAATAAACCTTTAATGGTTTCTTATGCAGGGGGTCGTAAACACTCTCCTGTCAGAACTGCACCAGTCCAGAACGAGAGAATACCAGTTCACTCTCGTTTAGGACCTATGAATACTCCACACCCGTAAAGGGGTGGAATTAAAAATTTAACCTTGGATCGCCCAGAGGCGACGACTAGCCGTCCTGTGCATGTTAACAGGGTTCAAAAACAAAAGATGGATTGCTCAAATCACAATAATGATGAGCTGTACTATCAGAAAAATAACTCAAGGAAAAGGATTGTACGAGAAAACGAGTCTCACTGCTCCTGTGAGAGACCCATTAAAGCAGTACTGACAGAATGCGGATGCTCCAAAAATAATTCAACTAGAGTTTCCGTATTTCAAAGACTTTCCACTGAAACATCTAACCCAAATGCTAAAACTCTTACGGAGCTGGGGGTAGTTGCAACTCCTCCTGTAGCTGCTGAGAAGCCGCAACAACCGGCTAAGCAAAAAGAAAAAGAACCCCAACATAAAGAGGTTCAAGCTCCGAAACAGTCTCGTTTCAACCGACCGATTGGACGAGATAAACCGGAAAGCTCGAACGCACCATATCGTTTCGACGTTATGGCTCAGCTAGCTAATATCCCAGCAAGGATTACGCTATACGAGTTACTGCGCCTCTCGAAAGATACCAGAGAAGCGTTGCAAGAAGCCTTGGCTGATTCTGAGGTATTCCTTACTCAGATTAAGCCAACTCCCGAAAAGCCAGAGTCGTCGATTCAGCATTGCAATCTGGCAGCCACCAAATTTCTCTGCATTGCTTTCACAAAAGAAGATATGCAAGTCAGTAATTCAAAGCATGACAGACCTTTATATTTTACTGGATATATCGGTTCGAGCGTTGTCAACCGGATTCAAGTTGATCCGGGTTCCGCTGTTAGCATCATACCACTTCGGTTGATGTATCACCTTTGAATTCCCGCCAGCAAGCTAGCCTCCACGGGAACCGTCATCTACGGATTTAACACTAGTGGATCAAGACCGTTGGGGAAAATTCGGGTGAAGTGTCAGCTCGGAGACTTGAAGTCTGAAGTCACCTGCTATGTAATTGATGCCGAGACTTCCTATAATTTACTGTTGGGTCGTCCATGGAGCCACAGTAATCTTATAGTTCCCTCTACCCTCCATCAGTGTCTGAAATATGTCGACACTAATGATGAGGTCAAGACGGTGGTCGCGGATAAACAACCATTCAAGGGGTTAGAAAACTACTTTACTGACTCCCTTCTTTATGGTGCTGAATCCGATACTGAATCATCGGCCCATGGTACGGACAGCGGAGAAGAAGCTGATACCGTAGCTGGGCTCGATTATAGTGAAGGTCTTGTACTAAATGACATTGAACCTCTTGTAATCGATCTTGACGGTGGTAATTCGTCGGATGAAAGTTGTAACTGGCAGCTTGCCGATGAAATAATAAACAATGACTTAGAGTACTCGCGTTGTCTTGACGATGTAATGCAGGAATTGTATGACGACCCTAGCCTACATATGCCGCTTCGTTCGTCTTGCACGACGACGAAACATATCCGAAGTTCAGTCGGAACAACTATGCTCCTACCCGCGAAGATAGGGGATGAAAAAAAAAAGTTTTCGGGAAAGGGGAACCATCCCCGACCCCAGATCTTTTCTTAGACACTTATTCGGATGATGAAGAACCCGGACGACATTTCTCTCGGTACAGTTCACAAGCGAATGGTTACATGACGAGCCAAGGCTACAACCTCTCGCTCGGTGAAGGTCTTCATTTTGGTCAAGGTGTTAGGGTTCCACCCCGTCCTGCCTACGTACCAAAAGGGAGACCTGATAATTATTACAGTCATAAAAGGGGGTCTGGGTTATACTTCATCATCTGATGACGAATATGGCTAACAGATTATTAGCCAACTAATAAATAAGAGTGGGCATTCATCCGATGCTTCAACCTGGGATTCTGACGTAAGCATTGGAGAAAGATTCAAAGCCCTAATGTTGAACATGGCGACAGTTGATCCTTCCACAACCGAAGAAGACGATCAATTGCCTATTTGGGAAGATCCATGGATGCATTAGATAAAGTAGTCCAAGTTAATATGGGTGACGAAGCTAACCCAAAGCCTATATTTATCAGCGGTGATCTCCTAGCGGATGAAAAAGAGGAACTAATCGCCCTCGTTAAAGAGTATATCGACGTTTTCGCTTGGAACTACGAAGATATGCCGGGACTTGACCCAGATGTAGCAATGCATAGCCTTAACATTAAACAGGATGCTAAACCCGTCAAGCAACAACAAAGACGGTTTCGTCCGCGGATTATGGAGGCAATAGAAGCTGAAGTCAAGAAATTGATCGATTCAGGTTTTGTCAGAGAAGAACAACACCCTGAATGGTTGGCAAATATCGTTCCAGTTCTTAAAAAGAACGGAAAGATCAGAATCTGTATTGACTTCAGAGATCTGAATACCGCCTGTCCTAAAGACGACTTCCCCTTACCAATTACGGATGTCATCATTGACAATACATGCAGGTTCGAGAGAATGTCATTTATGGATGGATTTTCTGGGTATAATCAGATCAAGATGCACCCGGACGATGAAAAGCATA